AAAGTTGGAAAACGGAAACTATAAATTCAGCATTTTTTCCATTTCCGAAGGGGCATAACTCTAGAACTGTAAAAGTGCCACCACCAAAATTCAAAATTGATCTGTGTTTTGTGGTAATAAGCATTGTGAATAAGTTTCATAACATTTGGTTGAGGCAAACTAAAGTAAGAGAACGGAAACCAATTTTGGGACGTGCAGGCGCACAGACGATCAAGGTTAAAAATTAATGCCCCCTTGGCCTCCCCTACAGTGGGGGCATAAATATAGTAACCAATTGCTTACATTAGTTTAGAAAAGGGCATCACCATGAACAACATTAATTTATGAATATATGAAAATGAGATCAAGGTCCAATGAACCTTGCAAGAAAATCATGCTCACCTCGCAATCATTCCATACACCAAATATAATTGACCTTTTGCTGTATCTGAGAAACAGACTCTTTCCTGCAATCAAGTGGTCATCTTTTGTTGCTGTATATCATATTTGTTTTTTCCTTTATCGTGATTTACATAAATCTGCCTTAAGACCGTTAGTTTTCTCGTTTAAATTGTTTTATATTGGTCATTTCGGGGCCTTTTAAAGCTTACTATGCACTGTGGGTTTGGCTCATTGTTGAAGGCCGTATGGTGACAATTATTGTTAATTTCTTCGTCACTTGGTCTCTTGTTGGATCTTCTCCTTAGCAATCATAACACATCTTATTTTCATACACAAATAATTTAATAATGAACTTGCACACAAATAAATTAATATTGACCATACAATAAAACCTGACAGAGATCAAGATCCAGATATACACAACAAATAAACCTTTCATACACCAAATATAGTCGACATATTGTTTACAGCATGGGAGAAAGATACTTTACCAGGGATGCCGAGGTTAAGGTGAAATTAACCTCGCCAGACGGACATGGAGACCTTATATACACTACAAAAGTCTAAAAGTCTGAAAAGACCAGTTTTTGTCTTAATTTGCATGAACTTTTACTCGACATTCTCCAAAAGTATGACTTGTGTCTTAATTTTTCTTGACAAATTCTCATTTATATTAAATTTGTATGAAATTTACTCGACATATTCTCGACATTCTGAATATGGTCTTAAAATTTCTTGACATTTGAATACTGTCTTGAAATTTCTCGACATATTCTCGACATTGTTATTTTTTCTCAGTATGGCTCGACATATTCTGAACATTTTGAATCGTGTCTTAAATTTACTTGACAGTTCTGAGTTTTACAAATCATGACCAATATTCATGATATAACTTTAATCTTTATTTCTCTTTATATGATATACTGTTGTTTCAAGTTACACTTCTTTACAACAAAAATAAAAGTTGGGCATGTAAAATAATTGAAAATTTGGGTATATAAATATTTTTACAAATGCAAATATGGCTATGAAATCTAAAGTATAAAATAATTCAAATGTGGGTTTTTAAATAATTACAAATTTTGATTCCTAAATCTTATAAATTAAATGATTCAAACCAATCATACTGTAGACATATTTCATTCTACATTCATAATATTCAATGTTGATATGGTAAATAATTATTATACCAAAATGTGGTTTATATAAATAGCAAATTAGAAAAGAAGAAAAATTTGTGTAATGTCATCTGTTAGAATATATTAAGTATTACACATGGACATGATGTTCCCCATAAAATTAAGGTATTCCACACCCCAGAGTACACGCAACTGTCAAATAGAAGTTATTGCTTTACCTGTAATCAGCCATACAACTTATCAGTTGACCGACCATGCCGGTACAATTTAAAAAGTTTGTTGATAGATGAAAATGAAAATCATCATTTTGATGAAAAAAAATTGAATTGAAATGGATTTTCTTCATCAAAATTATGAAGTTAATTATTTTAACATAAAAACAAATTGAATAATTCCCAAAGATTAAAAGAAAATTATTATCTACTCCAGGAATAATAAAAAAAATGTATTTATAATGTGTCCCATCAATGATTTCTATAGAAATCATCTGTCTTATGAAATGGTTCTCAAACAGACATGCATAATATAGATCTAAACATTTTTTTCTTTTCAGGAAGGAGTTAACACAAATATTTATTTTTGATAAAAAAATTATAAAATTCAACACTCAAATTTGAATAAAAAATGTTTTTGGGTTGTTCTAAAAAATGAATAAGGTTTTTGAATCAAGATGGGAACAAATTCTTTGACCTATACAAAAGTATAATTACTATACCAAATTAATCCTTGATTCTTCAAAGTTTAGTTAAGCCATAATAAAAAGGAGTATATAACAGCAATAGAATGTCATAAACAGTGCAGAATAAGTCTGTTCACATTTCAGGCCAAATTTATACTGTTTAGATAGTGTCAAGACATATTTAAGACTGTCAAGAATGTGTCGAGACATATTCAGACATTATTTAGAATGTCAAGAATATGTCGAGACATATTCAGACATTATTAAGAATGTCAAGAATATGTCAAGACAGATCGAGACAAATTTAAGACAGTCAAGAATTGGTCGAGACTAATCCAGACTCTTCTCAGATGATACAGGAAGTGTCGAGAAATTTTAAGACAATGTTCATACTGTCAAGACACTTGTCAAGAAAAATCAAGAACCTAATTAGACAAATTCATACTATGTCAAGAATTTTTTTAAATAATCAGACAAATTAAGAATGTCGAGTAAAAATTCATGCAAATTCAGACAAAAAACTGGTCTTTTCAGACTTTTTGACTTTTGTAGTGATAGCTGCTGAACCATGAATTTAAGGTCAAGGGCATAGACATATGGCAGACTGAATTTTCTATACAGGTTTCCTGGTTTTCTACCTTCTAAAATAACACAACTACCAGATAAGCATTCCCAGACTTCTCTTTTGCAACTTTCATCTCTGGTGGGACAATAAAAATCATCATTAAAGGATAACAAGCATTCTGAGAGCATTGCATGGCAATACATAGTTCCCTACGGGTTAAACATTCATTGTACTTTAACAAAATGCGATCTTGTTCTATAATTTGTCATGGTGTTTACTTTATAACAAATATCAAGTCAATATCTTCAAGCATGATGAAATAAATGTGGATAGTGTCCTAATGTGGACACAGATGATGCCCCCGCTTGCATATTATATAGTTATAAAGGGACATAACTGAAGAACGGTAAAAGTGACGCTACCCAAATTTGAACTTGATCTGAGTTTTGTGGTAATGAGCATTGTGTGTAAGTCTCATAACATTTGGTTGAGGCTAACTTAAGTAGAGAACAGAAACTAAAAATTCAGCAATTTTTCTATTTGTAAACACGCATAACTCTAGAACGGTTGTGTATAAGTTTTATAACATTTGGTTGAGACAAACTAAAGTTAGAGAACGGAAACGAAAAATTCAGCAATTTTTATGTTTATAAAGGGACATAACTCAAGAATGGTAAAAGTGTTGCCACCAAATTTCGTACTTAATCTGTATTATGTAGTAATAAGCATTGTGTATAAGTTTCATAACATTTGGTTGAGGCAAACTAAAGTTAGAAAACGGAAACAAAAAATTTGTACTTGATCTTAGTTTTGTGGTAATGAATATTGTGTATAGGTTTCATAATGTTTGGTTTGGGCAAACTTAAGTTACAGAATGGAAACTAAAAATTTTGCAATGTTTCAATCTATAAAGGGGCATAACTCAATGATTAAAGTGACACTACCCAAATTCAACTTGATCTGTGTTTTATCAGTGGCGTTCAAAATTAAACATTGCATTGTATAAAGCATTGATTGTAGTTGATTCTCAACTATAATCATGGACAAAGGAAGATAACTCCAATTTTAATAAAATGCTCCGCTGGGGCGCAGCTTGATACGACCGCAGATTGATTGATTGATTGTTGGTTGCTTAACGTCCAGTGGCAAATATTTCATGCATGTTCAGGACGAGAACAAGTTAACAATAAATACAATAGGTAGGTCCTGTAATAGAGGCGGTCCGGGATGAAGGTCGGGGAAATTTTGACTGCCACGGGAAAATGAGGGTATATTGGATAAGGACAAAAATTTAGCCTTGCAACAGGCCACCTACGGACCCCTCAAAGAGTTGTTGCAAGGGTTCTTAACGTGCAAAGAGCGTGGCACTCTCTTTACACGAGGCATCGGATTTAACGTCCCCATTCTACGACCGCAGAGGTCAGCCCTGAACAGTTGGGGCAAGTATGGACACAACATTCAAGCTTGATACAGCACTGAATTTGGATTGTAATTAAATATTTGACACAGCACAGGTTTCTCACACAGAATGAAAGTGGTCTAAGAACTTAAAATTTTTTAATTTACCTATTCAAACCATATCATTATTATTTGCTTTTATATATAAATCAGAAATAACCAATTTAAAATGGAAAATTTTTAAGAAAAATAAAATGCTCTGCTGGGCGCAGCTTGATACGACCACAGAGGTTGAACCCTGAACAGTTGGGGCAAGTATGGACACAACATTCAAGCTTGATACAGCACTGAATTTGGATTGTGAGTAAATATTTGACACAGCATAGGTTTCTGACACAGAATGAATGTGGTCCAAGAACTTAAAAAATTTTAATTTACCTATTCAAACCATATCATTATTATTTGCTTTTATATATAAATCAGAAATAACCCATTTATAAAATGGAAAATTTTAAAGAAAAAAAAAATCCCTCCCCAAATTTTTTGAACCCCCTTATGATTCATCACCCCCAAACTCAATCACAGCCTTCCCTTTGTGGTATGGTACCTTGCAGTACAATTTCAGAGAGATCCATACACTTGAACACAAGTTATTGTCTGGAAACTAGAAAAATGCTTGTTTTTAAGCCCCTTTTTGGCCCTAAATTCCTAAACATTTAGGGCAATTACCCCCAAACTCAATCCCAGCTTTCCTCTTGTGATATGGAACCTTGTAGTACAATTTCATAAAGATCCATACACTTACACACAAGTTATTGTCCTGAAACTAGAAAAATGCTTGTTTTTTTTTCCTTTTTGGCCCCTAATTCCTAAAATTTTGAGGCAATTACCCCCAAAATCAATCCCAGCCTTCCCTTTGTGGTATGGTACCTTGCAGTACAATTTCAGAGAGATCCATACACTTGAACACAAGTAATTGTCTGGAAACTAGAAAAATGCTATTTTTGGCCCCTTTTTCCTAAACGTTTTGGGCAATTACCCCCAGACTCAATTCCAGCTTTCCCTTTATGATATGGAACCTTGTAGTTCAATTTCAGAAAGATCCATACACTTACATACAAGTTATTATCATGAAACTAGAAAAATGCTTGTTTTTTGCCCCTTTTTTTGCCCCTAATTCCTAAAATTTTGAGGCAATTACCCCCAAAATCAATCCCAGCATTCCCTTTGTGATATGGAACCTTGTGGTACAATGTCAGAGAGATCCATACACTTACACACAAGTTATGTCTGGAAGTTACAAAAATGCTTATTTTTTGCCCCCTAATTCCTTAACTGTTGGTACCATAACCCCCAAAATCAATCCCAACCTTCCTTTTGGTAAAATGTCATGGAGATCCATTCACTTAAACTAAAGTTAGAGTGCGAAAACCAATGTGTCTTCGGACGACGACGCCAACATCATACCAATATACGACCAAAATTTTTTTAATTTTTGCAGTCGTATAAAAAGGGAAAAAAAATCCACCCCAATTTTTTGAACCCCCTTATGATTCATCACCCCCAAACTCAATCCCAGCTTTCCCTTTGTGGTATGGTACCTTGCAGTACAATTTCAGAGAGATCCATACACTTGAATACAAGTTATTGTCTGGAAACTAGAAAAATGCTTGTTTTTTTGCCCCTTTTTGGCCCCAAATTCCTAAACGTTTTGGGCAATTACCCCCAAACTCAAACCCAGCTTTCCCTTTGTGATATGGAACCTTGCAGTACAATTTCATAAAGATCCATACACTTACACACAAGTTATTGTCCTGAAACTAGAAAAATGCTTGTTTTTTTGCCCTTTTATGGCCTTATTACTAAAATTTTAAGGGAATTACCCTCAAAATCAATCCCAGCCTTCCATTTGTGGTATGGTACCTTGCAGTACAATTTCAGAGAGATCCATACATTTGAACACATGTTATTGTCTGGAAACTAGAAAAATGCTTATTTTTGGCCCCTTATTCCTTAACTTTTTTGGCAATTACCCCCAGACTCAATTCCAGCTTTCCCTTTGTGATATGGAACCTTGTAGTATAATTTCATAAAGATCCATACACTTACACACAAGTTATTGTCATGAAACTAGAAAAATGCTTGTTTTTTGCCCCTTTTTCCTAAAATTTGGAGGCAATTACCCCCAAAATCAATCCCAGCATTCTCTTTGTGATATGGAACCTTGTGGTACAATGTCAGAGAGATCCATACACTTACACACAAGTTATGTCTGGAAGTTACAAAAATGCTTATTTTTGGCCCCTTTTCCTTAACTGTGGGTACCATAACCCCCAAAATCAATCCCCACCTTCCTTTTGTGGTATTGAACCTTATGGTAAAATTTCATTGAGAAACATTCACTTAAACTAAAGTTAGAGTGCGAAAACTAACGCGTCTTCGGACGACGACGCCAACGTCATACCAATATACGACCACAAAAATTTTTTTGCGGTCATATAAAAATTACTTGATATTTAGAAGAAAATTAAAATTTTGCAATTTTTCCATTTCTAAAGGGGCATAACTCAAGAATGGTTAAAGTGTAGCCACCAACATTCAAACTTGATCTGTGTTTTGTGGTAATAAGCATTGTGTATAAGTTTCATAACATTTGGTTGAGGCAAACTAAAATCAGAGAACGGAAACAAAAAATTAAGCAATTTTTCCATTTGTAAAGGGGCATAACTCTAGAACGGTAAAAGTTACGCCACCAAAATTCAAACTTGATCTGTGTTTTGTGGTAATAAGCATTGTGTATTAGTTTCATAACATTTGGTTGAGGCAAACTAAAGTTAGAGAACGGAAACCAATTTTGGGACATACGTACGTACGTACAGACGGACAAGGGTAAAACTTAATGCCCCCTCCACTACGGCGGTGGCATAAAAAAGTGTGGAAAACTGATTATTAAAGTGAATTTTCTATGTCCAAGGACCATAACTCTGCAAAAAAATCATCAGACTGGAACAAAACCTGAACTTGATCTGTAACTTGTCATGATAAAACTATATACCAATTATCAAATCAATATCTTCAAGCATGACGAAAAAAAGTGTGGAACACTGATTATGAGTGAATTTTCTAAGTCTCTAAGGACCATAACTCTGCACAAAATCATCAGACCGGAACAAAATTCGAACTTGATCTGTTACTTGTCATGATAAAACAATACACTAAAAATCAAATCAATATCTTCAAGGACGAAGTAAAGTGTGCAAAACTGATTTGCTGGACTGACGGATGGACAGACAGACAGACGGAAGGACAGACGGATGGAAGGAGTGCAAACCTAAAGTCCCCTTGGACTTCATCGGTAGGGGACTAATAACCAAAATTCTCAATTGACAGTTTCAGTTATGCGATTTCAGATGCAATACTCATCCAGTAGCATAATTCACAACAATATAAACCTCGCAATTATTTCTGAATTTACAGTACAGTTGACCTATCGCCTGTAGGATCTGAGATATGGACCTGACAACAAAAACTTAACCTTTGTCACTGATCCATGAAAAGAGGTAGAGGTAAGGTGAACCCGGTCTTTTTTTAACTAAGAGTTTCTTTGAAAAGCCAAAGTAATTGATGATAATTGTTTTTTCATGGAGAAATTTCAAGTTTACATTAAAAACTCCAGAGACAATATATAGCTATTGCAATTATTTAATGGGACAGTACACTTTGTTCAAAAGTTATAATTGACAGGTAAAGTCTGATTCTGGGAAAAGTTTGATTGCCTTCGCAACGAGCCATTTTATACACTCATTTTGCTCAAATTTCCTTTTTTAGTGAGCTACTGAGATATTCACTTCCAGTTAGTTTACAAATTTTTTTATTGTGAGACTATCTTATTAGCATTGAGCCTGAAATCAATATGGAGCTTTCATTTCAAGATAGATACAAGAGTTATAATCCTGAAACCCTTTTTTGCATCGATTTGGTTGATTTCTGGTTATATAAAGATATATATATATGGTTTGTTCGATTCCACATATAAATATATTTTACAAGGAAACCCCTTTTCAAAATTTACTTTGTGAGGTTAATTTCAGTTTCTTAAATTTTGATGACAAACAAATACGCTTGAAAATCAATGGGCCTTCCTCTCATTATGATAAAATATTTTGCTCAAGTCCTTTTACTAATATTTCGTGCATATTCAGAACAAATAAACAAACAATTCAATAGGTAGGTTCAGTAAGTGGGTCAACCACACAATGGCAAGATATGTTGGCTGCCATTTGAAAAAGAAGGCGTATTGACAGAGAGCACCTACAGATATGTCGAAAAAAGTGTGATACCTTAAGTATACCAGGTTTCACATCCACATTACTACCAGATGTGACCGTGTATTTAAGGGTTTAAAAAGTTATGTTTACTGTATAGAAAAATTGGGTTCATTAATCCTTTAGCTCATTTTCTGGATTCATAGGGCAAAAGTAGTTTCCATGACAAGTTCATTCTTTCAATTACTATCGAGCTACACACAAAAAAAACTTATTTTACACCCCAAAAAAATATTTTAGATTCACAAATTTTTTCAAGAACAAAAACATTCAATTCTATTTATTTATTATTCAGCGTGTTGACATGAGCATAAAATATCATGGCAAACGTAACAAAGGTGACAATGATAAAATACAGCAACTTTTTTCACAAAAATCTTACAATGAACTACTCTCTGGTCATGAACACTTCAGTAATAATTGTACAATTTTGTGTGAAAAGAGTGCAGATGACATAAAATGACTTCATATAACAATTCATGTAAATACATTAACAAATCTTAAGTGTATAAATAAAATTATGGTTTCAAAATGTCACAAATGATCAGAACACATTAGAAAAAAATGGATGTGGTATAAATGCAAATAGGACAACTATAGTATCTACTGATGATAGGAACATTCAAGATCAGATAGGTTATTTATTACTTTGTGAATGTATGTGATGAAATTATCAATGAGCTTAAAATATCAAAATAGAACAAATTTTCTATTAACAATTACAGATTAGTTCCCTAGGTCAACAAATATTTTATAAGAAATTAACATAGCAAGGGAAGTGTCTACTCCAATATCTTTCTATGAAATTTGAATAATAATTTGACAGATCTTGTTGGAAATCAGATTTCAAAACACGTTTAAATGCTTATCCGACATTCCATCAATAAAACACTCCATAAATGTTGACACTTCTGTGCCAAAAATTCTTATATAAAAAATATTTGATGTTTAGGTCAAAACAAAAACAAGTCAAGTATACAATCTAGTGTTCATGTTAATCAGTCTAAAAGTATACATAAGATTTACAAAGACTGAACATTGTTTTTTCAGCTGGTCAGTCTGAAGTATCATTAATTGGCATCACTCCCAAAAACAGTACTTGTACATTTTAGCATTGTTCTTTCTAAAAGTCTTCTTTCATACTGTGCTTTACAACTTGTAAAATTGCAAAAAAAAATCCTCAATATGGCAAGCGAACCATTTAACAATCATTCCTTTATTCATTCAATTGCAAGTTACATAATTGGTCATCTAGTCATCAAATGTCTTCTTTTTTCCTGCATACCCCTGTATGCCACCTCTGTTACCTCTGAAACCTACGAAACAAAAGCATTTTTAAAATTTTACGACAAAAAATAAATTGCCTTTGGATTCATGTAAATTTACAAATTTATAAAATGGTATAAAATATAACATTTTTCTGAACCTTACTTCTACAGCAAACTACAACTATTCACTATTAAGATGCTGAACAAATATGGAGTCATAAGTTTATTAGTTTCCAAGAATGTATAATGAAAAAATTTTTCATATTGATTCAAAATATTGTGGGGTATGATCCTGAGAAATGTGTAGATGTAAATGTGTTTGTAAGCATCCAGGCATGGTGAAACCACTCAAGATAACTGCAATCTTATAGAGGAGTTATGAGCTGTATCTATAAACAAACCACATATGACACTGTGCCTTCCTCACACTACATTTCAATGATCAGAAAACAATATTCTTAAAAATTTCAAAATATATGTGTCCCAACTTTCAAGGTCATGTGACCACAATTTCCTAGAAAACCACCTTAAACAAACTTTAAGCTAATCAGTGAACCACAAATCTCTTCTTACCATATTACCACACAACTACCTTGAACAAAAACTACATATCTAATCCCCAATTTTTTTACCCCATACTCTACAAACACAATGACCTGAAAACCAACCTGCTAAGTCATAATATTTAAAAACAATAAATGTCTGAAGTATCCCATACTGGGAATATTTTAATACAAACCTCCTCCACCTCCACGTCCACGTCCTCGGTCTCCAAAACCACCTCTGCCTCCTCTTCCACCACCACCACCACGTCCTCCTCTAAATCCACCTCCACGTCCACCTCTAAATCCCCCTCCACGTCCACCGCCTCTTCTATCTCCTCCTGCTGAAAAATCATGAATTGATAATAAAGTATGTTGCAAGTGAATATTGAGAATTTGTTAAGAGAGAAACTTCTCTCCCAGCTTCTTTCCTACCATCTGGAGTTGCAATAAAGGGCAACTGAAAAAAAAATCTTGTTTATGGCAAGCCTCAAGATATGCATAATTGCACAAGTTAAAGTTTTGTTTCATTCCAACATACACTTTAGGTCAAGGGTCATGAAATTTTTTCACACAATTTAACCATTTTCCAAACTTCGATGTTTTTGAGACAGTGTGTACAATTTTTTTAACAGTAATTCAATATTTGCTTGATTATGTTATATTCTTTTTGAATTGCAATTTTTTTATTTCCTCAAAAACAAAGATTAACACAGTAGCAAAATGTTATCACATAGAATTTATACTTCTGAATGTCCTACTTTTGAATATTTGCCTCTGTAAAATCTATTCAAATTTGAAGTTCCACATTAAATTTATACGTCTGAATGTCCTAGCCAAGGGTTACGATCTGGAACCAATAATATAATGTGACATTCCAACATTTGCACAAGAAACATACCAAAGAACTTCTATTAGTTGATATTAGAACTTTAAAATTGTCACTAAATGTCGTCGTGGGTGTATGAGGGTAAAGACACCTTGCACAATCAGCACATGGCAATTATTTACATTTTCTCATTTACACATGATCATCTTAAAGGCGCTTTTTGACTGGATGCAGCCAGTTACAACTGCGACCAATGGAAATCATTACCTCGTGGGACAGAAATTCTATCTTAATCTGCCAAGGGTGGAGAGGAGGGAACTGGATCGTAACCCTTGGCTAGCGAAGATGGTCCTACTTTTAATTACTTCTCTAAAATCTATTCAAATTCAAATAAAAGATTTCGAGTAAAACTTCCAAAGGTAGGAATGGCAGTCTACATCTGGCCCGGGGCAAAAAGAAGATTTCTTAGAGGGCAAGCTCAACCCATGTTAAAGTTGTCAGCTGTTTCAGTTAATTTTATTACTTGACACTTTATCTAAAGGTCAAGCCAATTAAGTTGTTCATTTAACCTGTTAGGACACAAAATTTAAAATCTACCCCTCAACTTCCATAGTTGATAAAATGAATTAGACTTTCTGCTTTTGCATTGACAAACTTTTGTGCTGGGCAGACATTTGATGAAGGAGAAATACAATTTGCATTTCACAATTCGCTCTCCAAAATTTAAGTTCATAAACTATACCCAATATCTAGTTTTGCAACCATGCAATTCACTCAGTTTTTTAGGGGGGATAAATTGTTATTTGCTTTTGAAATCATACTTCCAAAGGTTTAACAAATTTCATTTACTTGTTTTTCAAAATTTTAACAGCTAAACTTGTCAGGATTTAATCTGGATGACTATACCTTCCCAAGTAAATACATATCTAAATGTAGGTTTCTCTTCTAGTTATTTACCTCCTCTCTCGCCAGCAAAGTCTACAAATATCTGTCTACCATCTATTTCTTTTCCTTTCATGGCATTAAATGCTGACTGGGCATCTTCAGCAGAATCAAAATCTACGAATCCAAACCTACAATACATATTATTTTTTAATCTTGAGATTATATTGTACTTTGCTGTTGCTGTGAAATCCGAGTTAAAACCCCAATTTGGCACATATATACACGATGCAAGTGCATTAACTTTACGAAACACGCAGACAAAGAACATATTGCCTTCTGCTCTTGTCATCTTCGCTAGTCAAGGGTTACGATTCAGTCCCCTCCTCTCCACCCTTGGCAGATTAACATTCATGATCACAAGGCTGCGCCATCTACCGTTAGATAAAAGTCACACCCATTCCGACAATCATTCTTGACCAATGGCAGCAGTTTAACTCTCTTCAGTGAGGAGGGGTAAAAATGGTTGTGTCTAGTGTTTACAAATTTCGTGAAGCAGAAACCGAAAATATACATTGACATTCCAACTTTTGCACGAGAAACATTCCCAGGAGCTTAAATTAACTTGATTTAGAACTTTAAAAATTGTCAATAAATATTGTCATGTTGCACAATCAGCTCCTGGCAATTGTTTTGCATTTTCTTTTTTTAACCTGATCACCTTAATAGACGCTTTTTGATTGGATGCAGCCAGTTACAACTGCGACCAATGGAAATCATTACCTCGTGGATCCGAAATACTATCTTAATCCACCAAGGGTGGAGAGGAGGGGACTGGATCTCAACCCTTGGCTAGCGAAGATGGCTCTTGTGGGGAAGGCATAAAAAAAGGAACTTACCCTTTAGGTTTCTGAGTGTCGGGAAATTTTGCTATTCTTGCAGCAGTAGAGCCTTTGAAAGCACTTTTCAATCCATGTTCGTCAGTATCAAAGGATAGATTCTTAACAAAAAGAACTTTAGACTTTCCAGGTTCTGCAAAACAAATTACAGTAGGCGAGTTATACATTGAATGTTTAATTCTTGTCCATTAATATTGAAATCAAGCATTTTGTGTTATTTTCTATACTTTTTAAATGTTTCGAGAATGTATATTTACATTTTGTGTGTGTCTAGTACCAAATTAAGTGTTGTGTGAAAAATTGAAAACTTTCATCACACCTTTAAATATAAAATATAATGCCAGGTTTTTATTCATAATGCAAGTTACAAGTTTTTAATGTGGATTGATAGATAATAAATCCTAAATAAGATTGATATCGGTCCTGTTAATTTTTCGTTCAATAGAAATATCGAAATTGTTTTCATCATCTCCAAGCTGAACAGTTAACATATTTTCTGTTCCGATTGATCTGCTGTCTATGGTGATGTTTGAAACAGCTAAATACATGTACAAAATGTTTCAAATAAAATCTTAAGATTAATGACAAATTTGAACCAAGATGATGCCCTCAATGTATGCATGAATCTAGTTCCAAAGACATTAGGTTTAACAAACAGCAAAAATAAAAGTACAACTTAAAATGGTTTACAGGACACATTTGATGCACTCTTCATAATTGATTTATTCCATAAGAAAACAGTTACTTACCTCCCGAACTTCCACCAGATCTACCTCCAGGACTTTGAAATGTCTTCTTACTTCCAGAATGATCCAAGTACAGGGCATTACCATCCAACTCTGAGCCCTGCTTATCCTTAAGTGCAGACTCTACTTCAGATGGTGCCTTGAAAACTATATAGGCAAACCTGTAAAGATGAACAAAAAGAATTAGACAAAAAAAATAATAAGTAAGACTTCAATTTAACCTTTTTTTTTATGTACTTTTTTAATAGAAACTTTTTTTTAATTTTGCAAATAAAGCTTTATACTTATTAAAGAAAAATATCTGGTTAATGTTGTCAGATGATTTGAGCTATTTCAGATTCTTCTGACAAAATAGATATAAACACTTCACCAAAATTTCTTGCAAATTGGTGAAAGCATTTTAGAGTTATTGTCCGAAAACTGGAAAATCCCCCTTTTTTTAATGAATAAAACCTCACAACACGGAAACGTACAATCTGAAATTTATAAAAATAATGAAAGGGAGCTCACGTCAATAGATTTAAACAATTCACCAAAGTTATGCAAATTGGTTAAAGCATTTTTGAGTTCATGTCCGACATGTTGACGACGGACAGAGGTATACCATAATACGTCCCTTAAACGGACATATAAAAATGACCACCATGATTTAGTCAAGTGTGCTTAGAGTGGGGTTTAACACCAACATCAATCAGTCAATCATGAATTGTTTTAGTTGTTCATTGTTCAGTTACTTAGTTTTTTTTTATTATAAACATATTTTGAAAAATGCTAAATATATTCAATGTAGATTTTGAAAGTTGACAGGTGTTAACAACTTAAAGTCTTCTCTTAAAACTAAAATTTGAGCAACACTAACCCAACAATGAATCTTGAAATGTTAAGTTGTCATCATTACATTGGCATATTTGAAAGTGGATCAAAATCCCTCAATACCCAATTTTTTTTCTGATTCTTCTTGCGCTATGCTGCTGCACAATTGTCTATGGTCAGGGATTGGGATTTGAGCACTTGTTAACATTTAAAACCCGATTATTTTTGGTATGGGCTTGACCCAAGTCGGGAACCATTAATTTGCTGCTGTTAATTGTATGGAACTAGCAATTCGTTGCCGACTATCATATGTTTTTCGTCTTATTTTTCATGACACAAAAAATTAAAATACCACTTTAAAAATCATTGTAAATGTTTTGTCTCAAGTGTTTTCTTGATTTACCTTACAGTATTCAGTCCAAAATACATTTCATCATCCAATCTTATTATTCTTTTAACTAATTCATTCCCTTGTGTCAAAGACAATTGGACTACAACATTGAAACTAGGTCTCCCAAAATAAATTGAGCCAGCTGGACTATTTTTTTTTTTTTAATGACGTTTTTAATCACTTAAAACTTTGAAACTTGGGCATTCGAGGTTATCATTGGGGACATTCCGACAATGACCGACATGAAAAACTTCATACTATCCATATGGATTCCGTCAACTAAAGGTAAAATCATCTGGTCCAAAGATGCCTCCATCTTTTTAAAAATACAGGAATAATATCTAGGGAATCGTTGCACAAGTTTTGACAGAAAACAGTCAATTGTGTCTTGATTATGCCATCAATCATAATTCCTTACATGCTAATAAGTAAATAACAGGAGTGGACATGCTGAAGCTGTTTCTATTCATATGAAGTATTTAAAAAACAAAGGCCTGATGATCCCTGTCAGACATGTATCCCAATGTCTTGTATTATAATTTCAGAAGGTAGTGACATCCAATGAAATTGGTAGCTTAGTTTCCAGCTATATTGGACAAACAACACAAAAACAAGTATTTAGATCTGAAAAGTGTACATGCTATTATACATTCATGATTTCCAAAGTTATATTTACCCTCTATGACTATCATCTGGTTTCCTTGGTAACCTAATTTCAACAGATTCAGGGAAAAATTCTTTTAAACTTTCTTCAGTTGTGTCATCCGATAGATTTTTTACAAACAATGTAGAGTCATCTTTTCCTCCACCAGTACTTTGTCTGGCTGGTGTGCTTGCATTTGAATTCTCCTTTTCTATTCGGGATTTAGCTTTTTCTACAACCAGTACACTGTCTCCTATCGTCTTTCCATTAAGTTTTACAGCTTTTTCTAGGTCTTCACTATTTTCTAAATCGATATAGGCAAACCTAAAATTAGAAAATGATTCATTGATGAAAAAAAGTTAAATAATTTTCAAACACAGAACTACAAGATGGCTCACTTGTACCCCCCACCCTTATATGAGTGTTGGTATAACAAGCCTCAGTCAAGAGGGTAGTCGTAATCTACATCTCTTATTCAGAGTGGTGCACGACATAACTTCATCATTGGCATGTTACTTCTTGCAGAAATCTAAAGGAGCCATCAGAGAGGTACCCGCTTAGTAAGCAAGTAAATTGTGATGCTAATCAGAAGATCACATTGTTATTAAATATTAAAATATTATATCACCACCAATACCTCACTGAAAAGGTGTGCTGTAACCATTTTTGTACATGTGCACATGAAGGTCTTAATTGAACCAAGTTTTTGACCATGACTTGCAATGTAATTCACTTTTTTGTACTCGAAAAACCTTTAAGAAGTGGTGAATAATCATGCCAAGTTTTATTACCAAACTCCCAAGGGGTTTGAAAGTTACTCGGCTGAAATTATATTAGTGCATATGCACATAATTTTACAATTCTATCATTCAAGTTTAAAAAGCATATTTCTGATAGGGTTGTATCTTCTTGCAACAAACAAAAGAAATCATTCAACTAAAATAACATTTTAGATTTAGGTATTCATATCCTCGACATTAATACAAAATATACACTAATCACTATAAATATTCAATTTGAAATGGAGTGCTATTTTAACACCTTTTTTCAGACAAATGCCTCGATGTGACATCAAAGCTAGTACCTTAGAAGTACATAGGAAGTAAAAACTACTTCCATAATGTATATCCCGGTATTAATCAGCCTCGTCATCTTGTGTCATCATTAAGAAAGGTGAACAGCAAGGTAATCTTTCTCCTTATCTTCCTCCAACACTATAAACATTATGGACTTGAACGACTTTAAGGAGCAGCGACTATTTTCACAAAAAATCTTACGATTATAAGTTATATGGAAATGTGTATGACTTACGAGTATTTTTACTTTAAGATTTTTTGTGAAAAGAGCCACAGGTTTGCAAATTAAATGACCCGTTGTACAGATAAAATCAAACAAATTGCAACTGTGTCACTTTTAATGAAATGCAAAAGGTATTTCACTAATGAAATGCAAAAGGTGTAGTGAAACACCAACAGTCAATTCAAAGTAAATACAATGAACTTGAATTAATTTGTAGATAAGATGGGGGAAAAAAACTTTCAAGGGTTTTCAAAATGAATTAGATTGCAAAAAAAAAGACAGCCTTGCAATTCTAAATAGTGATTTCAAACTTCAATTAAATACATAGACAAAGGTTACTTATTATTTGTTTGTTTAAACTTGTAATTTGACAACATATTTTAATACACTCACAGAAATTTATTTTTATTTTCAAATCAAAGATAATGTCATCATTAGTATTAAAACTTATGTTGAAATCATTCTTTGGTTGAATCCTTGGTTACATGGTCACCAAGTCAAAAAGTCTGAAGATTTTACAACATTAGAAAGATGATTATACTTGATAAATTCTGCATTCTCTGCAAATGTCATAGAATCAATTTATCCACATTATTTAGAGCTTTCTCAGACTCGCATATTAGACTTCAATGAATTTCAGAAATCAGGGTTCAAAGTTTAGTCATCATAGAAAGCATGTTTTATCCTTACTGTCCAAAACCTTGATGAAGATCATTAGACCTCTTGTTAGTCCATTTTGAATACAAGAACTCGGCCAATCTAAAATATAAATTTTGTTCTCTTCCATTCTAATGAGATTGATTTCCTATTCAGATTTTGAATTTTATACCTGTGACAAATAAATTTCAACCTTCCCTATTTTGATGTTTTTAAATAACATCAAAATAGGGAAGGTTGAAATTTATTTGTCGATATTAAACAGTTGTTTGGTTAATTTAATTTAGGTTGAATTGCCTTTCACTGATCCTCGATTGTCGAAACAAGAGAGAAGTCTGGTCAAGTTATAATACATTTTGTAATGCAAGTCTTCACAACATAGAAGAAAGTTCCCTCCCTTTGATCGTCAAGCCTTTTATTTATTTCTAGAACCTACAAATCTATTTTGCTACTCAGAATCCGGTAAAGTTAAATCATTAGAATCATTAACAAAATTTCCTCATTGTAGCAAACAAAAGTTTCATATTCAAAGTGACTGAAAATTTCTTTAGAACACCTTGTGAAGCAGTAATCCTTAAAACGATGGTAGTGACAACAGCTTAGCAAGCCTTTTAATAATGGCTATCAAGAACCAATTTAACATTATTAGGTTCAACAATGCAGAGTTAACTTAATACATAAAAAAAATTATACTTCTTTAATTTGTAATATGGTCTAAAATTATAAGGACTTGAAAAACTAGAAAACTTTTTGCATTACTACAAGTGGACTGAATAAAAAACTGATCAATAATAATTCGATTTTTTGAATGATGTACTATCGTCTTAACCTAAAGACTGATGATCATTGGAAGAATTGAAAGAATCTTAAATGATCAAAATAAATTTAAAGGTAATATTCTAATTTTTATGCAAGTTTAATCCTTTCAGACAAATGCCTCGATGTAACATCACCGTTTATACCAATTATATACACAGAAGTAAAAACTACTTCTTGATGTACATCCTGGTAAAAATCAGCCTCGTCATCTTGTGTCATCATGAAGGTAAATCAAATAATTAATCAACATTTCAATTTTGGAAATTTGGTTGCTGAATACATAATTTCTTAATTTCAAGGGGGTAGAATACACAGGATTTGATTTTAACTGGCGAAGTAGACGTGTTTTACTTATAAAATCTCAACTGCCATCGATAAAATTACTTTTTTCTTCAGATAAGAACGTGTATCACAGACCTGCATCCGATTTTCATTCTATTGGCTTATGGTAAAGTAATCATTTTCCTTCAACATTTCGAATACATTTAAGTGAGGTCCAAATTCATTTACTAATCCATGACAATCTAAGTTCTTAAATCTTTGCTACTGGATTTCTTGTGATAACTTGTATTACTATATATCAGATGACCATATACATACAAGATATTTTTAAAAGTGCTCCTCAGAATCCGGTAAAAATAAGATCATTCAATTTCTTGTCCTAGACTCTAGTCCAAAAAGGGTATTTCATCACTGAAGCATTGTATTATAAAATCAGTGATTTTTTTCTTCAATAAGTAGAACTGAACATGTTTTGAATAAACACATTCTAAATGCACCAAAAAGAAAAGTAATAAGAAAGAAAATTAATCATTCTTTCAAAGATTTTTAATAGACATATCAACAGGCTTTCTTTTGCAGTCTATAAAATAAACTTTTAGCATTATAAAAAGTTAAATATTTAACTTTTAAAAATGCTAGATTAAATTCTGGTCATCATCTTATAGTGAACATATGTTGTCTGCTGTTTAGATTTGTTCAAAGACGCAACTGTTTAATTACATCCCTATTGCAGAAACCTAGCTTCAGACGAAAGGGTGAAAGTCGTGATCAGTCATGAATTTCATCAGCGTGGTGCACGACATACTGTCATCATCAGCTTTTAATCACTTACCAACACATAAATCATAAAACAAACATTCTCAAAGATAACCACTCAAATCATCTGTCCTTGAAATTTCAAGAACTTTTATTTGTAGTTCATAAGAAAAGCATGGAATTTTTCATATATATGGAACAGCCCTTAATGGAATTTTTTTTTCAATTTAGAACTAGGTACTCGAACATTAATTTCTCAGATTAAAGGAAGTGGATAGATGTTGAAAGTGTTATTTCTTCACAAGTTATTTTCCACAATTTTTTATTAAGTACACTGGATTCATTATTATTTTAGCAGTTTTCATGGATTTTAAAGGAGGTAATCCATGTCACTTCAATCATATCTATAGTCTAAGTTCCTCTCACATCTAAAGGAGGTAATCCATGTCATCTCAATCATATCTATAGTCTAAGTTCCTCTCACATCTAAAGGAGGTAATCCATGTCATCTCAATCATATCTATAGTCTAAGTTCCTCTCACATCATTACTTCCAAAATAATTAAAAGCGACTTTTTAGAACAATTTTGTGTCAGAGCCCAATTACCAAAAAACAAAAACATTTTTCAGTTTTGGTTAACATATATATATATATATGCGTCTATTTCCAGAACTCGGCAATGGTTGAAATCGTCACACTCTCAGTAGCAGAACTGGGTAAAATTTTCATCATTGATCAAGAAAATTTGCAACAGATGTCCATTTCTATTGCAAGTTTTATAGTTATCTTATGATCCATCCAAGGAAACTGTTTACATCAATTTAACAAGTTTCTTTTACACAATTGAAGTAGATTTCACTTTTTTATACGAGACTTGAAAAAATACAATATCTGACAAACAGCATGAACATCCCATAAACCTTTCTGTGTGTTCTAAATTGCTTAAAAGATAGTCATAAGTGGATTAATTTGATTGCAGCAGTCTACCCGTAGAATTCTAATATCAAAAAGTCCTTCCATATGAAGCAAAAGCTTCGACTGACTCAATTATACAATTTAAAACTTATTGTTGAAATCTTTTTTGAAAGATAAAAATATTAACTCAATACAAAATAATGTTCTCCAATCTCAGTAGTAGCAAAAGAAGTCGTCATGGACTTTCAGCAGCAGAACTGGTTAAAAATTATCATCATTGACTGGAGACATTCTAGTTACAATTCTTTTTAAAGTAAACACATCTAAAATTGTGCAAACCTTGTTTCACTAATTCTAGAAGAAACATATTTATTGACCCATATTCCTATTATTACTGTGGATCAACTGAACTTTACGAGACACTCCCACACGCCATATAGCTCTACTTACTTCTTTTTCTCAGGTCTACGAACTTCTTTTACTTCTATCCCTTTCTTGGTGAAGATCTTTTCAACTTTATCAGCATCCATTTCTTTTGGAAGGTTTCCAACAAACAGGGTAACTGTAATATAAAGCATTTTTGAATAACTTCAAATTCTACCATCCTTATAGAAGTTTTAATTAAGACCAAAAAATTCCTACACTTTCAAACATTTTTTAACAGTTGGTACAATCAAATATCTCCCCAGTTGCAATTTTAAATATATTCAATGGTTAATGATTTCTCAAAAGTAAAACCCGAAAATGAGATCAAGGCCAGTTGACCAGTCACATTTACTCAAGAACAGACAAATCCTTAAACCATAGCAAATATTGAGGTCAGTTTAAAACTAACCCTCATACCAGATACCCTTGATCTGACTTATAGTCGTGCATAGTAACTGTATCAAACTTAATCTTAAAGCAAGGCCTGAAACTGGAGGATAAAAATAAAGTAAAAGACCTATGAAATACATGTATATTTATAGAATGGCATATACCCGAAACATTTCCACAACTTGAAAAATCCTTCCATATGAAGCAAAAGGTCTGACCGATTTAAATCTTCAGACATGCTTTAATCATTTTTGTAAGGTAAAAATATTAACTCAATACAAAATAATGTTCTCCAATCTCAGTAGTAGCAAAAGAAGTCGTCATGGACTTTCAGCAGCAGAACTGGTTAAAAATTATCATCATTGAATGGAGACATTCTAGTTACCGACAATATTTTTTAAAATAAACTCTTTTACTTGCAATAAACCACTATTTTTTAAAAGCATTAAAAAAATGGAAGTCAAAACCATGACATATATCGAAGAAAGTTCCTCTCCTCAATTTAATTGACTGTTGGATTTTGAAAATGAGATTAGTTGTATTAGTTGTGACAATTGTTGGCAGACAATCTCCATATATTTTTTTTAGTAAACATGGGTAAAAATGAGGACATGACATGAAAGTATAGTAATGTGGTGTCAAAACAGTAAATCTCTTTGTTTCAACTTCTGCAACTTTCTATACAGGCAAAGCAAAACCCAAATGAATCAATGATCATATGGTCTCAACATTGTATTGCATGATTAAATTTATTACTGAGCATTGAACCTTAAATCAGTGAACATTATTACTTGTGTCATTATCTTAGCAACCTTAAATCTGTTAACATTATTACTTGTGTCGCTATCTTCAGTCTTCTGTTTCTTTGCTTCCTTTTTGTTTTGTTTTTCCTTCTTTCTCTTCCCATTTGTCACAGCGGTTTCTTCTGCATCTACAAAACGTACAATTGACAATTCTTTTTATTTTCAAATGTATAAATCAAAGCAAGTTTTAATGGTGAAGTTCAAAATGTTTTAATTATTGTATAATACAGAAAAGGAAGTCCATTACAAAAGACAATAAAAATAATATTTTCTATTACTGCAAAAGAAATGACAAATGTTTACATAGACAACAAAACATACACCAGTCAACCAATGGCTCAAAAGGGCTATAACTTTAAGAGGTCAAGCATAAATATAATTTTAAACTACTGCATTGATGTAACCTCCTCCCCCCTCCCCTCCCCCCCTCCCCCCCCCCCGACAAAAAAAATTAATAAATAAAAGAACTTAAAATCCTGTAACATAGATACAGACAAGTTTAAATACAATCCCCCACAACAGTAATTTACAAGCGTCTTCTTTCACTTTTTTTCTATATGTAAATACCATTTATAAATGGAAAAGCTAAAAAACAAAAGTGAAACATCCAAGTAAACTACCACTCAGAATTGTGTATATTAAGATCATACAGCAGTCCTAGACTCTAGTCCAAAAAAGATTTCATCATTGTAGTAGTTACCATCTCTTGACATTCAGCACCTTTTGCTGTACTTTTTTTAACATACAACTGATTTCTGAAACAGCATTAAACCTTTACCTGGTACTTGAGTATATCAGTGTTACAGAAGTGATATACATTACAAGCCAAGTCAATCCAGCAGATTGTTTCAAATCAAGGTTTTAGCACGGAAAACAGGTTGTTGAAGCAATTTCTGTTAGTGCAAATTTTCATGGTACGGAGAAGGAACGGTTCAACAAAATTTAAAGAAATACTACTTCAGCATGTTGATTTGAATTAAAATAAGATTTTAAAACGATTTTCTACAAAAATTTAGAGCAGTTATCTTACCAGAATCGTCCTCACTTTCGTCATCATCATCATCTGATTCGTCATCATCATCATCATCTACTTCCATTTTAGATTGCTTTGCTTTTTTTGTTTTTTGAGGAGCTTCTTCCTCGTCTACACAAGACATGAAGAACAATAAGATTTTTTACAATTAACATAAATCATATATTATGTGGTTTATTTTCAGTTTCTTGTCTACTTTGCAAATGTATTTGAATAACAATCAAACTTTATTCTTCTGAACTTGAAGAGTTCCTTATCAAAACACATTCATAACAAGCATTCAGTGTGTATTGCATGGCAATACATAGTCCCCTACGGGTTAAAAATTCATTGTACTGGAACAAAATGCTAACTTGATCTATAACTTGTCTTGGTGTAAACTATATAACAAATATCAAATTAATATCTTCACGCATGATGAAAAAAAGTGTGGAAAACTGATTATTTGAGTGAATTTTCTAAAGTCCAAGGACCATAACTCTGCACAAAATCATCAGACCGGAACAAAATTCGAACTTGATCTGTAATTTGTCATGATAAAATGATATACCAAATATCAAATCAATATCTTAAGGCACGAAGAAAAAAGTGTGGAAAACTGATATGCTGGACTGGCGGATGGACAGACGGAATGCAAACCTTAAGTCCCCTCAACTTCATGGGTAAGGGACTAATAACCAATCAGTCCAAGGCATCAAAATCACAAATTTAAGATTTTTAGTTTTAGTACTATCAAGTGTGAGAGAACAACAGTATACACACCAGAATCACTTTCATCCTCATCATCATCTTCGTCATCATCACTATCCTTGGCAGGAGCGGCCTTTTTTGGTTCTTCATCTATTTGAAAAATTCATTAACAAATACTACTTAAAAATACAACTATGAAATCAATTCTCTTCTTCAGCTTTTATTTATCAAAGCATTATATTTGAAAATTAAATATTTTAAATCTGTTTTAAGATTTAAGACACCAGAATTTGCGTCTTTGTGGTCTCTCATTTATAAAATCACTTGTAATCCATCACCTGAAGTGCTGCCTTGGAAACTTTCCTTGCAACTTATTAACATATTTTCATCATAATTAAAGGAAATTTTTAAGATGGAAGTTGAGATTTAAGATCAAAGAAAATAACATAGCCGACAATATGATTAAGGAACCTTCTTAAAAGATTGCTCTGCAATAGATTATAGTACCTATCTTTCCTTGATGGACATTAAGCAAACAATCAATCAATCAATCTTTCCTCCACTCACAATGAACCAGAAGCCATTCAAAGACCAGTTAAGTACATTTTTGTAGTTGGTCTGTTTAGTGGTTCATGTCGTTAAATTATTGATGCTTGTCGAAGTTCACAATAATCTTAACTAAACCAAATTTAATGGACTTTAATTTAACAAGGTGGTAAAAGCTCTGCCCAGGTATAGCATTTAATACATTTATAAACAAAATAGTTTACAAACCAGAATCACTTTCATCATCATCATCGTCATCACTTTCCTTGGCTGGAGCAGCTTTTCCTTTCTTTGCTTGTTTGACTTGAACCTTAGGAGCAGTCTTCTTTGGTTCTTCATCTAATAAAAAGTTTGATATTTAAGAACAAATTATATTTACAACATCCACAAGAATAATAATGTACTTGTTAAGAGACTTTCCTTATCTAATTATTGTGTTTGAAGTGCACCAATTATTCTACACACAAATTTCAAGCAGTTACATGACAGAATCCTGATAACAGATTGTTTCTGAAATCTATATTGATGTGTAATCCAAGAACATATCTTAATACAAAATATTGTTTAATATCATACAAGAATAACTATATTTTATCACTGCTAGACTTTTGGTTTATAATGACAATTAATCCAACTGGGTATAAAGCTTATGGGCAATACCCCTCAGAGTATAAGCCTGCTCCTCGTATGGGTTTTAACACGCTATAAATTCATGTTCAATGAGAACAGGACAATTTTGGGTAAAAGGTAATTGAACATCTTTCCCTATAGTCAAGTCAGCAAAATGTGTTACTGTTTTTTCTAATTCTTTCTCATCACTGCTCTTTAAACATTCACGTCTCATTTTCATCACAATGGAATCACTTCTAAAGGATTTTTTTTAAATCAAATGTTTGGACAAATACAAACCAGTTTTTATTTCATCATTGTCTCCATCAGCTTTAGTTGGTTTGGCTACAGAATTGGAAGCAGCCTTTTTAGGTACTTCTATTTAAATAAAATTTATAACTATTTTAGGTTTCCTGATCACATGATTATTTTAACATATTAAAAGACCTGGAACTTCTTCAAAGGAAATGTCACGAGTGTGAGGAAAAAAAACCCATGGAAAACTTGGGAAAAATTAGTAGAGGGTTTAAACAGGTTTATATCATTTTTCTTGCTCCCATCACATTAAGGGATTTGATTTTCACAACAGATCTGCTCCATACAGTTTTTATTTATTTCAAATAATTACGTATACATTTTCGCATATTGATGAGTAAAATAGGACAAATTTAGGTATAATCTTTTCAAAGATATAATTTATTCAATATTAGAACCAGTGGAATAGTTTATTAGCAATGCATGGAATTGCTGTTATGTAAATTACTTCTTATCACTGCTCTTATATTCACTTCTCAGTTTCTTTAATTTGATAAAATACTTCTTTCACAGATTTTTTGACAAAAAAAAAGCAGACTATATTTTTTCTTTTTCTTCACCAGTTGGTTTTGGCTCGAGGATTGGAAGCAGCCATTTCAGATACTTCTATCTTAATAATTTTTTTAATTGAATTTAAGATAATCCTTTCATCAAAAGAATATTTTACAAGTTAAAAGAACTGGATGTTCTATGCCAAGCCTACCTCACGACTTCAGAAAAAAATGTATAAATTGGAGACACTTGCCAAGTTCATTTCTTAAGCTTCTTGGAACAGGACATCTTTTTTAATCATTTATATTAGATTCCATTTTAATTTTGGTTAACTACAAGACCAAAAATAAGATCAATATATGAAACAAGATACAATGGTTCAAGTATGAAATGCAAAAGACAAAAGCCTTCTACATACACTGAAGAGGAAATTCTTTCCTTAATGCCAACTACCTTATAATTCATCCAACCATTCTTATTGTCCTATTTTACAAGAAATCTTCAAAAAAACAAAGGGCAATCTACACCAGATTTTCCACCCGTCAGATATCCCTTGCGTTTCTGGTACCTATCTAAGTTTCCCCTATCAACAGAAAAACAAGTTATAGTATTTACCTGAATCTGAATCATCACTACTCTCTTCAGCAGGTGGAGCAGCCTTGGCCTTCTTATTTTTCTGTGGTGCCACTTTTGTTACTGGTTCATCATCTAAATGCAAATTTACAGTGTTAATGGTTGACAAGGAAAAATTTTCATGGATTAAATTGACAAACCTGGAAAAAGCCTCATCTGGTTCATGAATCAGCATAAAGCTAGCGGTTGAAAAAAAGAACATCGCTGCCAAGTACAATATCGTAAAAAATATTATTTGCCGATATTCAGTATAAACAAGCATTCTGAGAGTATTGCATGGCAATACATAGTCCCCTACCGGGTAAAAATTCATTATACTGGAACAAAAAGCTAACTTGTTCTATAACTTGTCATGGTGTAAACAGAAAGAAAATATCAAGTCAATATCTTCAAGCATGACTAATAAAATGCTTCGCTGGGGCGCAGCTTGATACGACCGCAGAGGTCGAACCCTGAACAGTTGGGGCAAGTATGGACACAAAATTCAAGCTTGATACAGCTATGACTTTGGATTGTCATTAAATATTTGACACAGCATAGGTTTCTGACACAGGATGAATGTGGTGTAAGAACTGGAAAAAATTTAATTTACCTATTATGGTGGAATATCCATAAACTAAATTGTTTGTTAATTTCAATATATCAAAGAATATGTAGAATTCAATGTTTGATGTAATGTAATAAAGTTGAAATTTGGACCGTTTTTTGTTCAATGTGGACCAATTTGGTAACATGTATAAATAATCAAAAATCTAAATACATGGGAGCCCATTTAAATACATCATAAAGGTATTAAAATAGAAAGTGACATCATAGTCATGGCTAAAAATAAACAAAAATCCTTAATCAGCAACATTTAAAGTAATATCTAAAAATAAAATTCCTTTGTAACCATAAAAGCCCATTTAAATACATCATAAAGATATTAAAATAGAAAATGACATCATAGTCATGGCTAAACATAGCAAAAAACCCTTAATCAGCATCATTTAACAGTAATATCTAAAAATGGAAATTACATCATAAAGGTATTAAAATAGAAAATGACATCATAGTCATGGCTAAAAATAAACAAAATCCTTAATCAGCATCAGCAACATTTTATAGTAATATCTAAAAATAAAATTCCTTTGTAACCATAAAAGCCCATTTAAATACATCATAACAGATATTAAAATAGAAAATGACATCATAGTCATGGCTAAACATAGCAAAAACCTTAATCAGCATCATTTAACAGTAATATCTAAAAATAAAAATTTCTTTGCAACCATAAAAGTAAAATAGAAAATGACATCATAATCATAGCTAAAAATAAACAAAATTTTTTTTTATTGGCAAATTTTAAATGGAGTTTATTATACTAAAACAATAAATTTGCAACCATAAACATGATCAAACCCCATTTAAACACATCATAAAAGTATTAAATAATTCAACTACACCATAAGGCTATAAAAATAGAAAATGACTTCATAGTCAAGGCTAAAGGTAAACAAAAAACCTTCATCAGCAAAATTTTATATTGGCAAATTTCCAATGAAGTTTATTACACTAAAATTGTTGGCAAATTTCCAATGCATTTATTAACAATAAAGTTATTGGCAAATTTCCAATTTACATAATTTAAAAGCAGTGTAGATGAGATATTTAAATGAGTTTGAATTACCAACCTTACACTGCTTTTAAATAATGTTCTTTACTCAATTATTTGTCTATTAAAATGGAAACCCTTGTTTTTTAACCTTTTTTCCCCTTATTCCTTAAACATTAGAGCCATAACCACCCCCCCCCCCTTATTTTTGACCAATATTTGGCCCTTTATTCATAAATGTTTGAGCAATTAACCCCAAAACTCAATTCCTACTTTCTCTTCGTGATAAAAAATAACTAACTTAAAATGTAAATTTTAAACAAAAAAAAAAGGAAAAAAAAAATTACTCCTTTTTTGACCCCCGCCCCCCTTATGATTCATCACCCCCACCCCCCTTTCCCCCCAAACCAAGCTCAATAACAGCCTTGCCTTTGTGGTATGGTACCTTGTAATACAATTTTAGAGAGATCCATACACTTGAACACAAGTTATTGTCTAGAAACTAAAAAATGCTTATTTTAAACCCCTTTTTAGGCCCCTTATTACTAAACGTTTTGGGCAATTACCACAACACTCAATTCCAGCTTTCCCTTTGTGAAATGGAACCTTGTAGTAAAATTTCAGAAAGATCCATACACTTACACACAAGTAATTGTCATGAAACTAGAAAAATGCTTGTTTTTTGCCCCCTTTTGGCCCCTTATTCCTAAAATTTTGAGGCAATTAACCCCAAAATCAATCCCAGCATTGACCCTTTGTGATATGGAATCTTGTGGTACAATGTCAAAGAGATCCATATGCTAACACACAAGTTATGTCTGGAAGTTACAAAAATGCTTATTTTCGGCCCCTTTTTGGCCCCTAATTCCTTAACTGTTGGTACCATAACCCCCAAAATCAATCCCCACCTTCCTATTGTGGTATTGAACCTTATGGTAAAATTTCATAGAGATCCATTCACTTAAACTAAAGTTAGAGTGCGAAAACCATTGTGTATTCGGACGACGACGCCGGACGACGACGACGCCGGACGACGACGACGCCAACGTCATACCAATATACGACCTCAAAATTTTTTTGCGGTCGTATAAAAACAGTGTGGAAAACTGATAAATGAGTGAATTTTTCAAGTCCAAGGACCATAACTCTGCACAAAATTATCAGACCAAAACAAAATTTCGAACTAGATCTGTATAACTTGTCATGATAAAACTATGTACCAATTATCAATCAATATCTTCAAGCATGATTAAAAAAAGTGTGGAAAACACTTTAACATTAGATATGATTAATAGCTCTCTAAAATTAGATATGATGTAATACAGTGTATATCTATTTTCAAATTATAATCAAATATAATTAATAGTTATAAATATTTTTTCTTTTATTTGTCACAAACTAATATAGATTTGTAACTTGTCTATAAAATGTCGACAATTTTTATCTACACAATGTAATGTAATATATACATTAATAAAAATAGATTATTATCTAATTAAAGGATTTCACTTTATAATTTTTTATATATATATATAGCATTCAGAAAATTAGTTTATACAAAATTACAAACAAACCTGCCAAAAAATTCTTCAAATAATTTACTGAAGAATGGCTTTTAAAAAATGAGTTATCTCCCTTAGTACAGAAATATGGTTTAACATAGTACTCTGACATTAGATATGGTCCATAACTCTGGACAAAATCATCAGACCGGAACAAAATTCGAAATTGATCTATAACTTGTCATGGCAAAACTATATACCAAATATCAAATCAATATCTTCAAGAACGTAGAAAAAAAGTGTGGAAACTGATTTGTCAGACTGACGGATGGACAGACGGACAGAGTGCAAACCTAAAGTCCCCTTCGACTTCGTCGGTAGGGGACTAAAAAGTTCGGATCTGCTCTCAAAATTAGGGGAGGCCAAAGTAAGTATACACCTATTTTTTGGCCTTATGTGACCTTCTCTGTGGAATTTAAAGGTCTTTATTTTAATTAAGTTTATTAAATTGATTAGTTTTAAAACTTTTTATTGTATTAATATTCCCCAAGCACTATTTTATTTTATTCTACAAAAGTTTAGTTCGTTCAACTTAAGATCCTGTGCATTTCTTGGAATCCCCTTTTTTTCAACACGAAACTAAGATTTTCCCTGAAATATTTGGAAAATTACTCGTCTAAGAACACAGCCTTACCACTATCGTCATCACTGTCATCATCATCGTCTTCTTCTACTTCAACAGCTTTACGTTTCTGAGGTGATGCCACAGCTTTTTGTCCTTTCTTCCCCTACAATATTGTAACACAACATAAAATAACAATCCTGATTTCCAATATTCAAGTATAACATGTACAATGTACTTTGTGGATTTACCAACTTTAGATTTGTATTCTTGGTACAATTTTTTCACCATTCATTTTCTTTAAATATTGGCTATTTCATGTGTTACATTACCAGTGTAATCATGGCCAACATCTATGGCAGACTTCATTTAATTTTATTCGCTACTCTTCTTTTTAAAAGTTTCAAAGGTCCACTCAGACACTTTTCTTCTGAAATGTGTTACCTTTATGGATGTCTATTATGTTGTGTTGCAGCCTCACTGATGTACCCCAACATTACCCTTCAAGTTAGAGTAGCAAATTCTAACAATCTAACCTAGTGTAATGCAATCCAATTCTCCTTATATTTATAACTCAATACAATGCAAAAGTTAAATACAATAAGTTGACCATAGTATATATTCTTTACATGATATACCGAATACATAAAATAAAAAATCCACTGCAAAAAGCTGGACTAGCAACAATAAAATGTTACTATAAAAAAAATTGTCGTTGTTTTACATTTCTTATACATTTGTACAGTACCAGTGTATCTGATTAACAATCTTTGTAAAACTTGCATCACCTAGTACGATAGTGGATCATGAAATATCCACTGTCAACACTTTTTATCTTGAAAGATCCTCAAATTTCAGTTTTACAGTATTTGTATAAATGTAAACTATATTCTAACAAGTTATAATTTTGCTGTTGTGTTGTAAAGGATTGACAAGTTTTACAGAGATTGTGCAAGACTAACATGAAAACACTAAATACTTACATGGTTTAACCATTAGTAAGTATACTGGAAACAAGGTTTCCTTTTCATTTTTCAATGCAAATGTCGCCACTTGCTTTTTATTCAACTTAGTGCAGTCTTGCAAGCACTCATTTAGCAAATGTCGCCATTTGCTTGTAAATATTTATAGCATCAACCTCATTCTGACGATGCCAGATAGGTTTGTATCATGTGCTATCACTTGTAACAATGCTACTTTTTCAGACGATGTCAGAAAAATATCACAGCCTGTGATGAGCGTGGTACAATTTCCGTTCTAATCAATTTGCAACCTTTTCCAGAACCTGTCGCCAGGAAGTCTGGAATTAAAATGCTTTTTACTATTGCTTCTAGATATCATTACTTTGCTTCACGTGCTTATTCCATCTCTTTATTAACCTGTCGCCAGGAATACCTTTTTGTTCCAAAGTGCATATCCCGTCACCAGAATGCGCTTTTAACTACCTTGTCGCCAAGGTTATCATACCATAACTATTACCAATATACAAAATATGTTGTTGCCAAAGTTCAACATCTTTCTTGTTGAAACTAGTGATAACTTGGGGCTATCACTGGTATTGCAATCTACTTTCACAAAATGATCACAAAATTTAATGCTCAAATTGCAGTTTTAACCAATTGTAAAAATGCAATTAAAATTTATTTCCCTAGGGAATTCTAGGCCATAAACCCCCTTCTACCTGCATAGTATTGCCTGTGTTAATTTTTTTGAGGTGTAAACACTGCTATTTTAGTTTAATTGGTTGGATGAACTCAATATTTTGAACTAGTTTTTAAATAAGTTATCAAGATTTTTTTTTTCAGTTTACAATTTATTTTAGTTACCAAAAAATACAAGGGAGTATTATACTCAATAAATCATGTTTTCTTTTATAATAATAAGTGATATTGTTTGCCTCAAATTACATCCGAAATTCAGCTTTTTCCCCTAGAGAAAATTCCCAATTACTAAAAAAAATGGCTTAAAATTCCTCCCAACTAACATTTTTCCCAAAAGTGTTGGCATTGGTATTAGGAATATAAATTCCGTATTCATGTTATTATTTTATATATTATTTCAATAAAAATTATGCATTTCTCCCAAAAAAAACGGTAGAGGTAGTTTTGAAAAAAGACCACAATATCTCTGAATAATCAATTTATAATTTCCATTTTACATAACTACTCCCAGTTGAATAACAGAATAAAGGTAGCTGTAATGTTACCCTAACAAATTAAATTTTGAATGTTTTTATCTATTATCTTCATGTGTTTTCCAATAACATATTTCACTTGTAAATTTTTGTATATTAATTCAGAGCTAAGTACTCATTTTTAAAGACATTTCAACTAGTCCAAGAAGGGCAAGACAAACAAAACTTTACTTACCCTGTTTTAGCTTTGCATAAATGACATTTACTTGGTTTAAATTGTTGTATCGGATAGAATTGACAAAAATAGCAGTGATTACACCTCAATCTTGACTTAGCAATCCTGTGCACTAAGCAACATTTGAAATCGTGAGGAGACAAAATTATATTAGTTATAAAAATTGGTTTTCTCAAGAAAAATAAAGATTAAATTTATATAAAATTTTTAAGATACATTAAAACTTTCTAAAATGTCTAAATATAAATCTCGAGATATAAATATATGTATATTCAATGTGAATTGTCCATTAATGCATTTTGCATATATGAGAATTATTTGATTTGAATAAACAATGTTCCGTCCTAGCTGCGGAACCGTAGCTCTTATCCCTGCAAAGTTTTAGATAATTTGTACTTAAAATAATTTATACTTTCAGTACTAGACACTTTAACTTTCAGATTCAAATTAATTTAGAAAAAAAATGTCAAATGACAAGTCCATTTCTTTATAGCTCAATTGCCTTTTTCTAGCATATCTAACACATGAACCAGCTATATAAACTTAATTTGTAAATTAAGTAAACCCGTCTTTGACCGACATAAATTATGCTGCACCACGTGCTCAGCTCACATATCTTATTTCATCATAATTTCATTTAAATCCATTAAATATAAAAATTTATGAAGCTCTTTGTAGTTCTCAACATATTTAAACAACTGTATCTCTTTACTTTCTTTCCCTTTGTTTCTTTTGGAGGCATGATGTCAAATTTGAATGCTCTGAAAAAATACACGTCCACCACACACACGATTGATCAGTAAAAAGACAGACCATGCGGTCGTCGTTATTTTCGAAGAATAAAATTTAAATGTTATATTGTAATTGTTTAGAACTGTTTGACAGGACATTTTTATCTAGATTTTTTTATTTTAATAAAAATATATTATAACTGACATAAAAAACAAAACTTAATTCGGCATTAAAAAACGATTATACGAAACTACAGCTGACCTGTTCGCGAAGGGTAGTTTCGGTCTAGGACAATTCGCCCCAGAAAGTGAATAGTTTCGGCTTTCTGTAAAATATGAACTTTTATCAATTTCTTATTAACCAGACAGATTTCAGTTTTCGAAGAAGAAAACTTTAATTTTGTTTTATAATATGTAATAATAAAGTTTTAACTAATAGAACAACCCAGTTTTCCCAAAGTTAACTTATTTAGGTCATTGTTTGCACATATAAATTTTAATATGATGGAAAGTGAGCAGGTACATTTTATTTAGAAAGAAAGTACATGATTACCTAAGAAAGCTCTTTCAACCGAATAATATATAACATACATATGAGCCTCCTCGTGGGGTTTTTGATTATGTGATTACGTGGCCGTTTTTATCGTGATTAAATGATTACCAGACCAAATATTTCGTGATTTTTTGATTATTTGATAATCTATGACTGTATTTTTTATTATTTGATTATCTTGTTTAAAAAAAAAATTAATGATTATGTGATTATATTGGCAAAACATTTGTGATTATGTGATTACTTGGATACCCCCATGAGGGGCCTCACATATATACAAAACATCACAATAAACAAAGTTTCATTAAAGACAAGTACACATAAGCATAAAAATATTAGCACACATAATGCATAAAATAAAATAAGGCATGAATAAACTATCAGATTGAAATAAAACAGAACACAGTATGGGGCATAACACGTAAAAAATGTTACATAATCACATAAAACATGATTTAGAACAAAGCAGAGAGGTTATAGCAAATTCAAACTTCACAACTTGAGCAGAAAATACAGCAAGACGTGTATATCTACAGTTGTTGTCCATTCGTTTGATGTGTTTTGTCATTTGATTTTGCCATGTGATTAGGGACTTTCCGATTGAATTTTCCTCGGAGTTCAGTATTTTTGTGATTTTACTTTTTCTAATAAGTATGTATTCACGTTATAGCAGTTAAAAGGACAAGGTTCACTTTACGCCAAATATGGCTTTGAATTTCAACTTTATCATTAAATTTCAAAATGGCCATAATTTGGTTCATAAATGTGTCTTTTATTTTCAAAAGCCTTAATTTTACTACTAGGTTAAACAAATCTCTACATTAGACGGTACATTCTAGTCTTCAATGGAAATCGACCTTATGCAAGGGCCCCTACACATGTACATTTGTAAGACTTTGATTGATTTTGGGACACTCGAATACGAAATAAAAGATGAATTTTGGTCTGTTTTGTAGATTTTCTGATAACAGATCAATTTTCTAACAGTTACAGACTTTCCACAGAGATCTTTTCAACTCTAAAAAGGTCAACAGTTGTATTGATATTCATTTGCATAAGGTCGAATTCTATGCGATGCAGCTCATATATTGCAAAAGTACAATGATTGTGTGCATTTTTTCGGACCTAAAAGCTTTAAGAAACCCTTGGCCGCAACCTAGGATCCAAAATATTCTGTAGCAAAACGTTGCCAATGATGATATTGAATCCCTAGACACAAAAAAAACTTTCTGGGTCAGAAATGGCGACCAAAGTAAATTATGTGAAAAACTGTTAAGAATTATTGAAAATTTGTCTGACGTTAAAAACACAAATAATGCATACAATTGTGAAAATTGCTAAATTTTGAAGGTGAATTTCGATTAGCGGCAGTTAAATTTATATTAGGAACCTATTATTATACTAAGTATAATAGTCCCAGTAGGAACGCGGTTTTTTAAGCACGTGGATATTCGAAGTGTGGAGAGGTTTTTTGTTATTTTATCGTTTCTTAAAATCATGATATTATATTTTTTAAAAGTAGATAAGTAAAAGAGACCGAAAGTCAAAGCTTTGAATTAGGAACATAATTACGGGATGAGTAGACCTAAGTAGTGCAGTCGAAGAATTCTAATGAAAGCTGTAGCCATGTTTCCCCTTTGCCAATTTTTCAGGGGAAATGGGGGGGGGGGGGGCTGGATCGATCTTGTTCCTACCTGGAAAAATTGGCATGATCCCTCCCCTCCCCCCCCCCTGGCCCCTCATCGTCATGGCGGGGGACAAGGATCTGGCCTATTCCCCCTAGTAGCACGAGAAGCTCATGTTTCCCCGTTACAGTAACGTCAGTGGAAAATTGTAATCCATGATAACATCCATTCTCCTCCGTGAACCCTTAAATTAAATATGTGTCACGTGACATTCTGTATAAAAATGAGGAGATGTGGTATGATTGCCAATAAGACAACTATATCCACCATGCAGATAGTTAAAATGAAGTGGAAGTAAGCAAGTATAGGCGGTCCTATTGGCCATCTTACGGCCTTCAACAACAAGAAAAACTCATACCGTATAGTCGGCTATAAAAGAAAGGAGAAGACGTAATTACGGACCAATGGTCAAACCCGCATGGCACAGTCTAGTTGAAGCCCACATGAAGAAAAAATGTGGCCGGATGGTGAAAGTTGTAGGAATGTTGGAGACATATAAAAGTTGATATAATCTCTCTCTTGTTGATCAAATTTGATGACATCTTAGAAATATATTAATGTCTACTTGTTTAACTGTCCATGTTGTTGTATCTTTGAATGATGAGGTAGTCTCAGTATTTGCTGTAAAAGTTCTGGTTGTTGTATCTTTGAATGATAAGGTAATCTCAGTATTTCTGTAATAGTTCTGGTTGTTGTATCTTTGAATGATAAGGTAATCTCAGTATTTGCTGTAATAGTTCTGGTTGTTGTATCTTTGAATGATAAGGTAATCTCAGTATTTGCTGTAATAGTTCTGGTTGTTGTATCTTTGAATGATAAGGTAATCTCAGTATTTGCTGTAATAGTTCTGGTTGTTGTATCTTTGAATGATAAGGTAATCTCAGTATTTGCTGTAATAGTTCTGGTTGTTGTATCTTTGAATGATAAGGTAATCTCAGTATTTGCTGTAATAGTTCTGGTTGTTGTATCTTTGAATGATAAGGTAATCTCAGTATTTGCTGTAATAGTTCTGGTTGTTGTATCTTTGAATGATAAGGTAATCTCAGTATTTGCTGTAATAGTTCTGGTTGTTGTATCTTTGAATGATAAGGTAATCTCAGTATTTGTCGTAATAGTTCTGGTTGTTGTATCTTTGAATGATAAGGTAATCTCAGTATTTGCTGTAATAGTTCTGGTTGTTGTATCTTTGAATGATAAGGTAATCTCAGTATTTGCTGTAATAGTTCTGGTTGTTGTATCTTTGAATGATAAGGTAATCTCAGTATTTGCTGTAATAGTTCTGGTTGTTGTATCTTTGAATGATAAGGTAATCTCAGTATTTGTCGTAATAGTTCTGATTGTTGTATCTTTAAATGAGAAGGTAATCTCAGTATTTGTTGTAATAGTTCTGGTTGTTGTATCTTTAAATGATAAGGTAATCTCAGTATTTGCTGTAATAGTTCTGGTTGTTGTATCTTTGTATAAGGTAATCTCAGTATTTGCTGTAATAGTTCTGGTTGTTGTATCTTTGAATGATAAGGTAATCTCAGTATTTGCTGTAATAGTTCTGGTTGTTGTATTTTTGAATGATAAGGTAATCTCAGTATTTGCTGTAATAGTTCTGGTTGTTGTATCTTTAAATGATAAGGTAATCTCAGTATTTGTTGTAATAGTTCTGGTTGTTGTATCTTTGAATGATAAGGTAATCTCAGTATTTGCTGTAATAGTTCTGGTTGTTGTATCTTTGAATGATAAGGTAATCTCAGTATTTGCTGTAATAGTTCTGGTTGTTGTATCTTTGAATGATAAGGTAATCTCAGTATTTGCTGTAATAGTTCTAGTTGTTGTATCTTTGAATGATAAGATAATCTCAGTATTTGCTGTAATATATAGTAATGTCTGCATTCAAGCTCCACATTCATAAATGGTTTATATACAGCAAAATTCTCAGCACCCTTCAGTGTAAAGTTCTGTCTCCTGTAGATTTATAGGTCCATAATTCTGTTACATTCAAGTACATATTTGCATCTATTGTAATGAGACTTCGATGTAATATATACCGTCGGAAGCAATGACGAATAATTCTTAGAACCTCTTGTGTACTTGTGCTATCTTTAGATGCCCGAGATATTATCTTGTCAGCCAAAAATAAAGTTAAAGTCAGCAGACAATATAGTTTTGTGTCATGCATGGATGGATACCCCATATCCTTTGTTTTTCTATAATATAGTAACATTTATATACACCCTGAGACAAAAAAAGAGAAAAAAACTTTTTTGTGCTTTTATTGATTTTGCTAGAGCATTCGATACAGTTTGGAGATCTGGTCTTTGGTCAAAACTCGTATTACATACGGTGAATGGGAAGATGTATAATACTATATTTAATATGTATAAAAATGTAAAGTCCCGAATTTTCAGTGATGGTGAATATTCAGATCACTTTCCATGTAATGAAGGTGTACGACAGGGAGAAAATTTATCTTCTATACTTTTCTCTATTTATCTATATGATTTGGAAAGTTTTTTTCAGAACAAGAATATAAATGGTTTGAAATCTTTGTGAGATCAAATAGAGAGCGAGATAAATATGTACTAGTATTTAAAACTGTTTGTTGTACTGCACGCAGACGACACTGTACTTATGTCAGAAACACACGCATATCTACAAAAACAATTAGACGCTTTAAAAGAATATTGTGAGAAATGGAAATTGAAAGTCAATGTCCAAAAAAGCAAAATAGTAATTTTTTCTAAAGGTAGACCCTACAGAATGTTATTTTTAAATATGCTGATATTGTGTTAGATATTGTTGAAGAATTTACATATCTTGGTGTATTATTTTCAAGAACAGGAAGTTTCACA